ACTTTTTTACAATCAGGATAGGATTAATATTTGACAGGGACTACATTCTGTTACATGTATGACAAATGTATGACTTTGTTGATAGATCTCAATTAATGTATTTTGCATTATATTTGTGTAATTTCACACTTGTTTTAACTTTTTTTAACAAGATTTTAACTTTTTTGTTTCAATTCTTTATTGTTTCATTGTTTAAGATTTTAACTTTTTTGTTTCAATTCTTTATTGTTTCATTGTTTAAGATTTTAACTTTTTTGTTTCAATTCTCCCACAGTGTTGCATTTAAATGGGTGACAAAGGTCCACGAATTTCTCGATCATTATATTGTATCACAACAGGTAAGCAAAACAGTGTTACTATTCTGCAGGTAATTAGAGGGTATGCATTATTGTCAAAAATATACGGATGATAGACAAGACAACACTTTAAAACGTGAAATTATATTTTATTTTCGAACAAACTACAGAACAATAAACGAAACTAAACTAAACAATAACAATTAAATCATTTTCCCCAGAACACAAACACTTTAAATAAATGTAGAAAAATGGTTGAGGGAGCAGGCTATTCTCCAGGCTATTCTGAGCTCTCCCTCTCGCGGATCTGCAAGACCCGTCTATTAAGGTGTTTCAGCACAAGTTTCATAGGTAATCTTGTAATTAGGTCGTCTGGGTTGCCAGAAAAGACTGTGGATGGTACAATGAACACTTCCGATTTACTGCTGAGGAAGTGACAGGTCTCGTTTACGTCAGTGACACCAATGATTTCTGCCTCTGTTTCCTCAACCTGGGCCTCAGGTATCTGTGGAAAGAAATCAATGTGGGAAATGCCAGTGTATTAGTACTAAAAACACCTCAATGTAAGTATTTCTTTTTGTACAATTTTGCTCTTCTGTATATTAAATTCTTGTTTATTGACCTGTTGTATTAGAAAACACACTTGCAATTCTAGCCTATTATCAGATTACAGTCATGCTGATATTCTGAACAGTTTGCTTTTGTTGCTTTTGTTCATGTGATATTTATTAATTGAAATGTAGGTTTACATCTCCAAAAACGTTTCCTCTTTTTCAGTGTAAACTATGGCAGCAGTTGTGCATTATGTACCTGTACAGACGTGTAGGCTGAGGAGTGGAATTTCCCCTGGCCATTCTTAAAAATGCAGGGGCGAAGGTGTGTGAGCACCACCTCGTCACCCACGCAGAGGTCCGTCAGCGCCTCGTCTCTCCACAGCGACACGTCAAATGACTTGCCTCCAGACTGGAGCCGCATGTCCAGAATGGGGACATTTGTCCTGGTCATCCTTACGCCACGCAACTGGAAATATTAAAGTGAGAAAATCATAAGCCAAGTCAAGCCAGTCCTGCCATTGTGCAGTTGACGTCACGGGGTTGGTTGGCTCAAGTTTAACAGGCTCTGGGCATTGAAAATTGCGACATCAAACTGTGTTTATACCAGTGTTTTGACCGCGAACTACTAATGTTAGGTACAGATATTAGACAAAAAGATGACGTCTCATGTTATATATTGACAAACTGCACATAGAAACATTGTTCGCGATGTCTGCCGTCAGATATTCCCGTCTCGTCAACAACATGTAAGTTACGTTGCTGTGTAGAACAGTCAGTGGTGGTTTGGGGCGGAGAGCGGGTTTGCAACGCTTACAAGGTGTCAGTGTGGCTGTTGTACTGCGATGCCCTCCGTGTCAGAGTCCATCTGTTGTCAAGAGGTTGATCTTGAGCATGTGTCGCGTGGTCAATTCTGCATCACCGGCGCGCACGTTTACCATGCTGTGCCGGGAGGTAGACGTGTGGAAGCGGCGATGCTTTCCCTGAAGGATGTCAGAGCGGAGACACTTTTTCCTAGTATATGTAGGCTGTAGCTAACGTTACTAGCACTACCAGTGCGAAAATATGGACGTTTCATTTCCCCTTTAACAAATACGTGCTAACTTACATGGTGTTGACGAGACGGGAATATCTGACGGCAGACATCGCGAACAATGTTTCTATGTGCAGTTTGTCAACATATAACATGAGACGTCGTCTTTTTGTCTAATATCTGTACCTAACATTAGTTGTTCGCGGTCAAAACACTGGTGTAAACACAGTTTGATGTCGCGATTTTCAATGCCCAGAGCCTGTTAAACTTGAGCCAACCAACCCCGTGACGTCAACTGCACAATGGCGGCGCCCTGGCGGCGAAAGATAAAGTTTTTTCTTTTCTTTTTTCTAAATGTTAACCTGATTCACTGCTTCATTTCCCCTTTAAGGATTAGTTCACTTTTTTTAAATAAAAAATAAAAAATCTGTCCTACCGAATCTGTTGTCTTTTCAAAGCTGTAATTCTATTATTAATATAAAACTTAAAAGCAGATCAGTCTCTGTTTTTCAGTGCCTGAGGTTCAGCCAACAGGCATGAGACACAGTCCGTCTTCCCAGGCACTCGACAGCTGCGTATGAAATGCATCATATGCTTCTCCACCGCTCCAACCTCATCTTCCGTCCACTTCCTTTTGACACTGACTTTTGCGATCAAGTTGAACTCCCTTTCCACCAAATTACTGAAGTCTAAATCCTTTGTAATGGCCTCATGTTGAAAAGTGAGTCCTCAACCACACACAAACTGAGGTCTAAATCATACCTACATATTGGGACCATGGTGAATACTAAGTCCTGAGCTACACACACACACACACACACACACACACACACAGCTAACCCTTAATTATGGGGACTAACCTGGTTTATCTGGACATTATCTACTAGTACACACATTATTATAGATGAGCATCATAGTTTAACTTTATCCATGGCAGTGCCACATCACTTAAGTCTGTTTCAATACCAGCATATAAAATAAATAAATAAATAAATAAAATAATAATTATTAGCAATTGTTCAACCTGGCTTAAAGTTTAAGAGAGATTTCAGAAAACTAACCTGAGTTTGTAATGTGAGATTAAGCAGGTATGAAGTGAGTGAAGAGCAAAGAGAGAAGAGGGAAAGTGAAATAAATATGGATATATTTTAACATTAAAAATTAAGAAATAAAAAAACAAAAAAAAAACAAAAACAAATGGAAAGTTTACTACTTAACCATCACTGACAAATGACAAAGTTTTGTCTAAAGATAGTTTTGAATAAAGCTAAATATTTCCAGTTGATTGGGTTTGGGTTTTGTTAATGTGAAAAGAGAAGATTGTTTAAGACTTAGTTTTATATCTAAATGAACATTGCTGACCATTTGGTTTTAACTGGACATTAGTAACCATATGACTCATGCATACACACATACACACACAACCCTGACTAACCCTTGATTATGAGGACATTTTGGGTTTAACAGGACCTCACTCTCACACACTCAAACACACACAACCACCTGACTAACCCTTGATTATGAGGACATTTTGGGTTTAACTGGACCTCACTCACACACACACACAACCACCTGACTAACCCTTGATTATGAGGACATTTTGGGTTTAACTGGACCTCGATCACACACACTCAAACACACACAACCACCTGACTAACCCTTGATTATGAGGACATTTTGGGTTTAACAGGACCTCGATCACACACACACACACAACCACCTGACTAACCCTTGATTATGAGGACATTTTGGGTTTAACAGGACCTCGATCACACACACACACAACCACCTGACTAACCCTTGATTATGAGGACATTTTGGGTTTAACTGGACCTCACTCACTCACACACACACAACCACCTGACTAACCCTTGATTATGAGGACATTTTGGGTTTAACTGGACCTCGATCACACACACACACACAACCACCTGACTAACCCTTGATTATGAGGACATTTTGGGTTTAACTGGACCTCACTCTCACACACTCAAACACACACAACCACCTGACTAACCCTTGATTATGAGGACATTTTGGGTTTAACTGGACCTCGATCACACACACACACACAACCACCTGACTAACCCTTGATTATGAGGACATTTTGGGTTTAACTGGACCTCACTCACTCACACACACACAACCACCTGACTAACCCTTGATTATGAGGACATTTTGGGTTTAACTGGACCTCGATCACACACACACACAACCACCTGACTAACCCTTGATTATGAGGACATTTTGGGTTTAACAGGACCTCACTCTCACACACTCAAACACACACAACCACCTGACTAACCCTTGATTATGAGGACATTTTGGGTTTAACTGGACCTCACTCTCACACACTCAAACACACACAACCACCTGACTAACCCTTGATTATGAGGACATTTTGGGTTTAACTGGACCTCGATCACACACACACACAACCACCTGACTAACCCTTGATTATGAGGACATTTTGGGTTTAACAGGACCTCACTCACTCACACACACACAACCACCTGACTAACCCTTGATTATGAGGACATTTTGGGTTTAACTGGACCTCGATCACACACACACACACAACCACCTGACTAACCCTTGATTATGAGGACATTTTGGGTTTAACTGGACCTCAATCACACACACTCAAACACACACAACCACCTGACTAACCCTTGATTATGAGGACATTTTGGGTTTAACTGGACCTCACTCTCTCACACACACACACAACCACCTGACTAACCCTTGATTATGAGGACAAACTGGGTTTAAATGGACATCACTATTAAGTCCACACATAGCAGAAGTACCTGTATTAGAGTAAAACCAAATCAACTATTCTACATTAAAGAGTGAATTCACGAATGATTGTGCATCGTTTTGCTGCCACTAAACCTGTAAAAGTAATACGCACACGAAATGAAGTGCTACCATGTGCTGTAGCTATATCAGCCAACATATACAAATGTGGTGCAAAATGAGCCTGGTTGGAGAAAAGTCAGTGATCAAAGATCAGCAGGTTTTACACTTCACTGAAGACTAGTTGAAGGGCTATTAGATGAAGAAATGCAACTAGAAAGCCAATAAAACTAACAAAATTAAACTGAAAGGGCATTTTTTTTATTTGCAAATGGTAAAAAAGAAGGCTCAACAACTGAGATCTAATAAGCACATAATGCCTTCCAGTAAATGCATGTATTTGTACATTTCTTTCAAAACAGTGTTTAATAAAAGTATATAAAAGGATGTCTTGAACACTCTTCTGGCCCAACAACACTTTAGAGAACTTTACAGAACAAAACGCACAGACATTAAAGGTGGTATCAGCGATACCACCTTTAATGGAAGGCGATACTGATCTCTCGAAGAACTCTAAGAAGATTTCTTTTTCAACATCAAACCTCGGTTCCTCACGAAATGCCTTATATTTTGGGCCATTCTTTCTCTCAGGACAGGGTCCTCTGCAGTCTTGCACAGCTCTTTGTTGCTAGGTGTCCCTTTGAAATATGGAAATGTTTCACGAAAGCATTAACTTCATTTGGGCTCCATGGCCTTTTCGCTATTCTCCTTGATTTGGTCTCTGTAAAACAAACAAACAAACAAACATATACATACACATATGTATACCTATATGTATGTACATGGAATAACTTTAATATACCCAAATGTTTAAATACCTCTGGAGTTCTCAGTTTCATCCTGATTCATTTGTCTTTTTCCTGAGGGGTAAAAAGCAACAATTAAAATGTATTCCAGCCCAACAATCCAAACAGTTTCGGACCATGTGAAACATCAGCAGATAAGCACACAGGGAAACTAGTCTCTGGTCCTGTGCAACACAAAAAGGACCACATTTACACTGTTAGCGGTGTACGAAGATCAGACCCCAGTTCCCTTTCCCTACTACTGTTACAGAGTAGGCTTCCACTACACCTCCTCTTCACCACTGTAGGACACTTTCACCAGAATATTAACCATCATGAACTCAACATCCCATCATGCCGCTTACCTGAGACCGATTACAAACACCTGCAGCTCATGCACCCATATAAACCCCGTTCACTCAAGTTCATTGAGAGGTATTGCATTGCCCCGGCATACAATTTCTGAGCGTTTTTTCTGTGTTTGCTGAACTGTTACTGACCTTGGATTGTTTCTACCGACTTCTGATTGTTCTGCTGCATGCCTCGACTCGGACTGTTATATCGACCTCTGATTCTTCTGCTGCCTGCCTCGACCCGGACTGTTATATCGACCTCTGATTCTTCTGCTGCCTGCCTCGACCCGGACTGTTATATCGACCTCTGATTCTTCTGCTGCCTGCCTCGACCGGACTGTTATATCGACCTCTGATTCTTCTGCTGCCTGCCTCGACTCGGACTGTTATATCGACCTCTGATTCTTCTGCTGCCTGCCTCGACTCGGACTGTTATATCGACCTCTGATTCTTCTGCTGCCTGCCTCGACTCGGACTGTTATATCGACCTCTGATTCTTCTGCTGCCTGCCTCGACTCGGACTGTTATATCGACCTCTGATTCTTCTGCTGCCTGCCTCGACTCGGACTGTTATATCGACCTCTGATTCTTCTGCTGCCTGCCTCGACTCTGACTGTTATATCGACCTCTGATTGTTCTGCTGCCTGCCTCGACCGGACTGTTATATCGACCTCTGATTCTTCTGCTGCCTGCCTCGACCCGGACTGTTATATCGACCTCTGATTGTTCTGCTGCCTGCCTCGACCCGGACTGTTATATCGACCTCTGATTCTTCTGCTGCCTGCCTCGACTCGGACTGTTATATCGACCTCTGATTCGTCTGCTGCCTGCCTCGACCCGGACTGTTATATCGACCTCTGATTCTTCTGCTGCCTGCCTCGACTCGGACTGTTATATCGACCTCTGATTGTTCTGCTGCCTGCCTCGACTCTGACTGTTATATCGACCTCTGATTCTTCTGCTGCCTGCCTCGACTCGGACTGTTATATCGACCTCTGATTCTTCTGCTGCCTGCCTCGACTCTGACTGTTATATCGACCTCTGATTGTTCTGCTGCCTGCCTCGACCCGGACTGTTGTATCGACCTCTGATTGTTCTGCTGCCTGCCTCGACTCTGACTGTTATATCGACCTCTGATTGTTCTGCTGCCTGCCTCGACCGGACTGTTGTATCGACCTCTGATTGTTCTGCTGCCTGCCTCGACTCTGACTGTTATATCGACCTCTGATTCTTCTGCTGCCTGCCTCGACCGGACTGTTGTATCGACCTCTGATTCTTCTGCTGCCTGCCTCGACTCTGACTGTTATATCGACCTCTGATTGTTCTGCTGCCTGCCTCGACTCGGACTGTTGTATCGACCTCTGATTGTTCTGCTGCCTGCCTCGACTCTGACTGTTATATCGACCTCTGATTCTTCTGCTGCCTGCCTCGACCGGACTGTTGTATCGACCTCTGATTGTTCTGCTGCCTGCCTCGACTCTGACTGTTATATCGACCTCTGATTGTTCTGCTGCCTGCCTCGACCCGGACTGTTGTATCGACCTCTGATTGTTCTGCTGCCTGCCTCAACTCTGACTGTTATATCGACCTCTGATTCTTCTGCTGCCTGCCTCGACCGGACTGTTATATCGACCTCTGATTCTTCTGCTGCCTGCCTCGACTCGGACTGTTGTATCGACCTCTGATTCTTCTGCTGCCTGCCTCGACCGGACTGTTATATCGACCTCTGATTGTTCTGCTGCCTGCCTCGACTCTGACTGTTATATCGACCTCTGATTGTTCTGCTGCCTGCCTCGACTCTGACTGTTATATCGACCTCTGATTGTTCTGCTGCCTGCCTCGACTCTGACTGTTATATCGACCTCTGATTCTTCTGCTGCCTTCCTCGACCGGACTGTTATATCGACCTCTGATTGTTCTGCTGCCTGCCTCGACTCTGACTGTTATATCGACCTCTGATTGTTCTGCTGCCTGCCTCGACCGGACTGTTATATCGACCTCTGATTGTTCTGCTGCCTGCCTCGACTTTGTTATATCGACCTCTGATTCTTCTGCTGCCTGCCTCGACTCGGACTGTTGTATCGACCTCTGATTGTTCTGCTGCCTGCCTCGACTCTGACTGTTATATCGACCTCTGATTCTTCTGCTGCCTGCCTCGACCGGACTGTTGTATCGACCTCTGATTGTTCTGCTGCCTGCCTCGACTCTGACTGTTATATCGACCTCTGATTGTTCTGCTGCCTGCCTCGACCGGACTGTTATATCGACCTCTGATTGTTCTGCTGCCTGCCTCGACTCTGACTGTTATATCGACCTCTGATTGTTCTGCTGCCTGCCTCGACCGGACTGTTATATCGACCTCTGATTCTTCTGCTGCCTGCCTCGACTCTGACTGTTATATCGACCTCTGATTGTTCTGCTGCCTGCCTCGACTCGGACTGTTGTATCGACCTCTGATTCTTCTGCTGCCTGCCTCGACTCTGACTGTTATATCGACCTCTGATTCTTCTGCTGCCTGCCTCGACCGGACTGTTATATCGACCTCTGATTGTTCTGCTGCCTGCCTCGACTCGGACTGTTGTATCGACCTCTGATTCTTCTGCTGCCTGCCTCGACTCTGACTGTTATATCGACCTCTGATTGTTCTGCTGCCTGCCTCGACTCGGACTGTTGTATCGACCTCTGATTCTTCTGCTGCCTGCCTCGACTCTGACTGTTATATCGACCTCTGATTCTTCTGCTGCCTGCCTCGACCGGACTGTTGTATCGACCTCTGATTCTTCTGCTGCCTGCCTCGACTCGGACTGTTATATCGACCTCTGATTCTTCTGCTGCCTGCCTCGACCCGGACTGTTATATCGACCTCTGATTGTTCTGCTGCCTGCCTCGACTCGGACTGTTATATCGACCTCTGATTGTTCTGCTGCCTGCCTCGACCGGACTGTTGTATCGACCTCTGATTGTTCTGCTGCCTGCCTCGACTCTGACTGTTATATCGACCTCTGATTCTTCTGCTGCCTGCCACGACTCGGACTGTTGTATCGACCTCTGATTCTTCTGCTGCCTGCCTCGACTCTGACTGTTATATCGACCTCTGATTGTTCTGCTGCCTGCCTCGACCGGACTGTTGTATCGACCTCTGATTGTTCTGCTGCCTGCCTCGACTCTGACTGTTATATCGACCTCTGATTCTTCTGCTGCCTGCCTCGACTCGGACTGTTATATCGACCTCTGATTCTTCTGCTGCCTGCCTCAACTCGGACTGTTATATCGACCTCTGATTCTTCTGCTGCCTGCCTCGACTCGGACTGTTATATCGACCTCTGATTCTTCTGCTGACTGCCTCGACTCGGACTGTTATATCGACCTCTGATTGTTCTGCCTGCCTCGACTCGGACTGTTATATCGACCTCTGATTCTTCTGCTGCCTGCCTCGACTCGGACTGTTATATCGACCTCTGATTTTTCTGCTGCCTGCCTGCAAGGATGTTTGCTAATTGGTCACTGCAACTAATTCTAGAATCAACCAAAGTCTTAATATCTAGTGGCCCTTTCATGGCTCCGTCGTGCACAAAGCAGACATATAAAACATGTGAGGAGGAGAAGGCTGATATGCAGATCTTGTCTATAAAGTCAGATAACATTATAAACATCAACATACCATTTCCTTTCCAGTGCATATTGGTTCTACAGCTTATCCACAATAAAGCAGCAGCTGACACATACCCAAAGCAACAGCTTTTCTTCAAACCCTAACCCTGACATGACGGTCCTCGTAGTGGAGAACTGTCCTTACATTTCAGGTCAGTGTCATGCCCATCCCCCAACACACGAGTTATGAAAATGTATGAACTGAGCAAGGTACATTTTACTCGAACTTGAGACGTCACAACAGCGTCTTTAAGACGACAGTCCACGTCAACCAGTCCAGTATGATGCCCAACCATCCTACACTTAACATTGCCTGTGTCAAAGAGAAGAAAACAATGAAGGAACATCCGTTCACTTACTTTCTGTTTCACTGTTGAGGAAGGATTCACTCTGCATTCAGTCACAGCCACTGATGTCTCGTCACACAATTCCTGTAATTATGAGAAAGACAGGTACAACACTGAGGCAAGGATGTTTGCTAATTGGTCACCGCAACTAATTCTAGAATCAACCAAAGTCTTAATATCTAGTGGCCCTTTCATGGCTCCGTCGTGCACAAAGCAGACATATAAAACGTGAGGAGGAGAAGGCTGATATGCAGATCTTGTCTATAAAGTCAGATAACATTATAAACATCAACATACCATTTCCTTTCCAGTGCATATTGGTTCTACAGCTTATCCACAATAAAGCAGCAGCTGACACATACCCAAAGCAACATCTTTTCCTCAAACCCTAACCCTGACATGACGGTCCTCGTAGTGGAGAACTGTCCTTACATTTCAGGTCAGTGTCATGCCCATCCCCCAACACACGAGTTATGAAAATGTATGAACCGAGCAAGGTACATTTTACTCGAATTTGAGACGTCACAACAGCGTCTTTAAGACGACAGTCCACGTCAACCAGTCGAGTATGATGCCCAACCATCCTACACTTAAAGGGTTAGTTCACCCAAAAATGAAATTTCAGTCTGTATTTACTCACCCTCATGTTGTTCCAAACCTCTATGTGTTTATTTGTTCTGCTGAACAAAAAGGAAGATATTTGGAAGAATGTTTTAATCAAACAGATCTCATTCCCCATTGACTACCATAGTAGGAAAAAATACATATACAAATATCTTCCTTTGTGTTCAGCAGAACAAATAAACACATATAGGTTTGGAACAACATGAGGGTGAGTAAATACAGACTGAAATTTCATTTTTGGGTGAACTAACCCTCTAACATTGCCTGTGTCAAAGAGAAGAAAACAATGAAGGAACATCCGTTCACTTACTTTCTGTTTCACTGATGAGGAAGGATTCACACTGCATTCAGTCACAGCCACTGATGTCTCGTCACACAATTCCTGTAATTATGAGAAAGACAGGTACAACACTGAGGCAAGGATGTTTGCTAATTGGTCACTGCAACTAATTCTAGAATCAACCAAAGTCTTAATATCTAGTGGCCCTTTCATGGCTTCGTCGTGCACAAAGCAGACATATAAAACATGTGAGGAGGACACGGCTGACATGCAGATCTTGTCTATAAAGTAAAATAACATTATAAACATCAACATACCATTTCCTTTCCAGTGCATATTGGTTCTACAGCTTATCCACAATAAAGCAGCAGCTGACACATACCCAAAGCAACAGCTTTTCCTCAAACCCTAACCCTGACATGACGGTCCTCGTAGTGGAGAACTGTCCTTACATTTCAGGTCAGTGTCATGCCCATCCCCCAACACACGAGTTATGAAAATGTATGAACTGAGCAAGGTACATTTTACTCGAATTTGAGACGTCACAACAGCGTCTTTAAGACGACAGTCCACGTCAACCAGTCCAGTATGATGCCCAACCATCCTACACTTAACATTGCCTGTGTCAAAGAGAAGAAAACAATGAAGGAACATCCGTTCACTTACTTTCTGTTTCACTGTTGAGGAAGGATTCACACTGCATTCAGTCACAGCCACTGATGTCTCGTCACACAATTCCTGTAATTATGAGAAAGACAGGTACAACACTGAGGCAAGGATGTCTGCCAATTGGTCACTGCAACTAATTCTAGAATCAACCAAAGTCTTAGGCTGAATCCCAATTATCCGTCTTACCCTTTCCCCTTCCCCCTACCCCTCAGCCCTTCCCCTCAGCCCTTCCACCTTCCCCTCACCCCTACCCCTCACTCCTACACCCCACCCCTACCCCCCACCCCTTACCCCTTCCCCTCACCCCTACCCCCCTCAGTTTTGCACGTTCACGTGAGAGGAAGCGCCATCGCAATTTTCATTTTGATCTAGGGGTAAGGGTAAGGGGTATATACCACTTAAGACCAAGAATTTTCATGAGCTTACTTGAAACCAAGGGGTAAGAAATGCACTGCGCAACTGGCAACGATGGCATTGCCTCTCCTTCACTCTGGATGGCATACCATCCAGAGTGTCCCATAAATTAAAGTTTTTTCACTTACATGATTGATAAAAAAAAAAAATGACAGTCTTGTTTTGTGCTCTACACAGTTATGTACATATAGGCTATATTTGCAACTATGTTGTTTATTGAAACTTTTTTAAAAATCGCTACTTTGCTACGCTAGGCTATGCTAACGTTACATTGCTGATTTGCAAAATCAGTCCCACATTTCAAGATCACCCAAAATTTACGGTATTCAGCTTTGGCTTTCTACAGTCGCCATTCATTATGTGTACATTATTTGACACTGACACGTACGTGATCAGCTTCTCAGATGATGCATTCAGCTTCAAACGGATCCCGACTGAGACGAAAACACGGGAATATTAGATAAACAATACATTCAGATTCACAGATTTAAATTAATGAATTCAGTCCGATTGAAACAACACCTTGTGCATGTAAACATAATGAATAGTGAAGGCAGAAAGCAAAAGCCGAATCCCGGACATTTTCAGCGATCCTGAAATCCGGGTGACATGTCCGGGAAAAGGAGGACGTTGTATGGTCACCCTGGAGACATCAATACGTGCTTTAAATATACTGTCCTGTATTTGTTGCTGACAATCGCAAATAAATCTCCAGTACCAACGCAATCGACATAAGCATACTTGCAGACGGCATCTTAAAAGTTACGAGAAGTTTGTGATCAACACTTTTCGCCCCTGGTGATAGACGCCAAGGACGTAACCGAGTGGTGTCTCATTTCATAGGGGTATGTTTGCACTAGCGCTTACCACTCGATTTCGAGGGACAAGGCCTAGGGGTAAGACGAAGGGGAAGGGGTAAGACAGAGAATTGGGATTCAGCCTTAATATCTAGTGGCCCTTTCATGGCTCCGTCGTGCACAAAGCAGACATATAAAACATGTGAGGAGAAGGCTGATACATGCAGATCTTGTCTATAAAGTCAAATAAATCCAATACACATTACATTATAAACATCAACATACCATTTCCTTTCCAGTGCATATTGGTTCTACAGCTTATCCACAATAAAGCAGCAGCTGACACATACCCAAAGCAACAGCTTTTCCTCAAACCCTAACCCTGACATGACGGTCCTCGTAGTGGAGAACTGTCCTTACATTTCAGGTCAGTGTCATGCCCATCCCCCAACACACGAGTTATGAAAATGTATGAACCGAGCAAGGTACATTTTACTCGAATTTGAGGCGTCAAAACAGCGTCTTTAAGACGACAGTCCACGTCAACCAGTCGAGTATGATGCCCAACCATCCTACACTTAAAGGGTTAGTTCACCCAAAAATGAAATTTCAGGCAGTATTTACTCACCCTCATGTTGTTCCAAACCTCTATGTGTTTATTTGTTCTGCTGAACAAAAAGGAAGATATTTGGAAGAATGTTTTAATCAAACAGATCTCATTCCCCATTGACTACCATAGTAGGAAAAAATACAAATATCTTCCTTTGTGTTCAGCAGAACAAATAAACACATATAGGTTTGGAACAGCATGAGGGTGAGTAAATACTGACAGAATTTTCATTTTTGGGTGAACTAACCCTCTAACATTGCCTGTGTCAAAGAGAAGAAAACAATATAGGAACATCCGTTCACTTACTTTCTGTTTCACTGTTGAGGAAGGATTCACTCTGCATTCAGTCACAGCCACTGATGTCTCGTCACACAATTCCTGTAATTATGAGAAAGACAGGTACAACACTAAGGCAAGGATGTTTGCTAATTGGTCACCGCAACTAATTCTAGAATCAACCAAAGTCTTAATATCTAGTGGCCCTTTCATGGCTCCGTCGTGCACAAAGCAGACATATAAAACATGTGAGGAGGAGAAGGCTGACATGCAGATCTTGTCTATAAAGTGAAATAACATTATAAACATCAACATACCATTTCCTTTCCAGTGCATATTGGTTCTACAGCTTATCCACAATAAAGCAGCAGCTGACACATACCCAAAGCAACATCTTTTCCTCAAACCCTAACCCTGACATGACTGTCCTCGTAGTGGAGAACTGTCCTTACATTTCAGGTCAGTGTCATGCCCATCCCCCAACACACGAGTTATGAAAATGTATGAACTGAGCAAGGTACATTTTACTCGAACTTGAGACGTCACAACAGCGTCTTTAAGACGACAGTCCACGTCAACCAGTCCAGTATGATGCCCAACCATCCTACACTTAACATTGCCTGTGTCAAAGAGAAGAAAACAATGAAGGAACATCCGTTCACTTACTTTCTGTTTCACTGTTGAGGAAGGATTCACTCTGCATTCAGTCACAGCCACTGATGTCTCGTCACACAATTCCTGTAATTATGAGAAAGACAGGTACAACACTGAGGCAAGGATGTTTGCTAATTGGTCACTGCAACTAATTCTAGAATCAACCAAAGTCTTAATATCTAGTGGCCCTTTCATGGCTTCGTCGTGCACAAAGCAGACATATAAAACGTGAGGAGGAGAAGGCTGATATGCAGATCTTGTCTATAAAGTGAAATAACATTATAAACATCAACATACCATTTCCTTTCCAGTGCATATTGGTTCTACAGCTTATCCACAATAAAGCAGCAGCTGACACATACCCAAAGCAACAGCTTTTCCTCAAACCCTAACCCTGACATGACGGTCCTCGTAGTGGAGAACTGTCCTTACATTTCAGGTCAGTGTCATGCCCATCCCCCAACACACGAGTTATGAAAATAAAGCAGAAATGCAGACTTTTTTTTTTAATAATCTGCATCATATAAAAAACTAAAATTCATGAAATACAGAACATGGTTGACTTTCAGTGAAGTCTTTGAGAGACTCACCCTTAAACGCCAAGGCCAAGAGGAATCCCCATAGTTGTATGTGACCTCTTCATCTGGAAAGATATGTCTTATAGTACACAGACACAGGTGTGGCCTTCCATCAACAATGATTGTCTTGACTTTGCAATTTGGATTTTTGTCATCATTCACCAAGCGAAGTGGACCAAGCGAAGTGTCCTCTTTTGTTGTTTTGTTTTGTTGTTTTTAGATGACCTACTGTAACAGTGCCATTAGCCAGATCTAGTGTAACGTTAGGGCCGTTACATAGTCAACGCGAGCTACGCGAGAAAGCAACGCGAGCGACGCGCTCCCTTTCAGTGTTAAAGCAGACGCAAGCGTCACGGGCGATGCGTAAAATGCAATACACCGGTCACGCAACAGGGGGTAGTAGATTTTTCACTGCAAACCTGAAAAAGCGGTGAAGCTCGTGAAGGCGTGCGTGGCTCTCCACAACTTTCTGGCATCCACTGAACGTGCCAGATACATGCCCGCCGCCTTTGTGGATGCGACGTCTGACACCGGAGAGGTCCAGCCTGGAGAGTGGAGTGGAGGCAGCACGTTGTGGTGGAACAGAACATGGTCGACGGACCACGGTTTTCGGTCGGCAGCAGCAGACCCTCCCGGAGAGCGGCACTTGTCAGGGAGCAGCTGGCTGATTACTTTTTATCAGATGCTGGCGTGTTTCCCCACCAATACAATGTGCTACGATTGGGTAGCACTGACAAATAAATTGATAAAAGTTCGATTTGAAGCATGAGTTTTTTATTATTATTTAACACTTTACACATTTTAACTTATTTGGTATTATGTGAAAACCATTACACATTTTTTATAATTTGGTATTATTTAAATTATGTAAAAACCATTACACATTTTAACTAATTTGGTATTTTAATTCATTAATTCATATCCATAACCCATTAATTCATATAACCAGGCTGATAAATTTGTCACGGGCACTTTTCCAGTCCGTTTTCACCTGATTCTGTCTTTCCCATCGCGATTGCAACCTCTCTCCAGGCATTTTCCAACGCAATTTTATTTGAGTGTACAACTTGATGAACTGTCGTATGCGGATGAACGCGTATAAGCTCGTAATTTTTCCTCCACGCCCGCCATTGTATTCAAACCTTCTTCTTCTGTTAACATGATATATTTGAATTAATGTACAATTCTTGCAATGTCGCCCCCACCGATAACGCATAGTATTGCGCGCATCAGCGCGTCGCGTATCAAAAACTAGGACGACACATTTGCCTACGCATCGACGCATAATGGCGGCCAAAGCGTAGCGATGCATAGCCTTGCGGACGCGTATGCGTACCGATGCGTTGACTATGTAACGGCCCTAAGTGACACTATTATATGATTAGGGTATGAATATGTTTTTATCTTGATGCGGTGCGGACGCGCTTGGAAAAAAAACGAGCGCGTTCACCGCGTTGAACTTGCACCCTGCGCGCGGCGCGCCTAGTAGCCTAAATTTGAAATAACCATGGAAATAACGAACTTGAGCGTGCAAAAGGGTACGATAGGCTGTGAGTTCATTGTGCAAAAACAATTTGTGCTATTACTTTCCCCTTATTCTATCCTATAGTAATGCAATTATACTGTAAATTATATGCTGTTGAATACATTTGGTTCAGCTAATAAATTGCATTTAAAATATATTGATTCCTGTAATAAAAATTATTTATTCATGTGATATTTATAAATCTGGGTGCGTTTTTGGTTGGAAATCAATGAAACATGGTACTGTATTGGTCTCCCCTGTTTATTGTCACAGCTCATACAATAAAGCAAACACCCGTGATAAACTATGCTTTTCTATCTAACGTTAGTAATTGCTGACTTTTTATTACTCCAACACTGAGCGAACTCTCTGCTCCTCGTCACGGTGCGTCTCAGGTGATGCGGTTATCACTCTGCTCAAGTAGCAGTGCTTCGCCTTCAGAAAATATAGTATTTATACGGTCAAAAGATGTCTGTGTCTCATATGGCCTTGATATTTGCACACTCTGTGACTATACAAACCACAACATGTAAATAGGAAAACGTTTGCATTATTTTGTCACTCATTTGGATTAGTATGAAAGCTGCAACCATTCACATCCAGTCTTTGTGCTAAGCTAGGCTAGCGGTGGGTGCGTCAAACAGACTAGCACGCACGGAGATGAAAAAGGTATGTATGGACTTATCTAACTCTGGGGGGTAAGGTGAATAGGCTAAAGTCCCAAAAAGTCGGAGTGTTCCTTTAAGTCTTCTTGATGTAGACGATAATATTGGAGATGTATACCTGCCTGAAATAAGTCAGTTTGTTGAGTGGTGTGATAAAAATGATCTAATAATAAATATAAAGAAAACAGAGGAGATCATATTCGATCCAAAAGGTATTGGGGACCATCATCAAGTGGTCATACATAACCAAAACATCACCCAACCGCAGACTTACAAGTATTTGGGTGTTAATATAGACAGCTCACTGACTTGGAAAACCCACATGGAATGGATTTGCACCCGGCTGCACCAGAGACTATATTTTTTACGTAGATTACATTTTTATGGGGTGAATAAGAAAATCATGATGCTGTTCTACAAAGCTGTTTTAGAGAGTATTGTTAAGTATGGTGTTACAGTATGGTTTGGGAACCTATCTATACAGCTAAAATCCAAACTGGCACATCTGGTGCTGACAGCACTTAAAATAGTTGGACATGAGGAATCTTTGAATCTCCAACAGTTATTTGAGAATAGCACGTTAAAACAGGTGCAGAAAATCGTGGAGGACCAAACTCACTTTTTGCACTATCAGTATGAACTGCTCCCCTCCGGCTGAAGATATAGAGTACCACTGTGCAAACTGAACCGGTATAAAAATTCTTTTGTTCCCATGTCTGTACGTATGTTGAATAACAGTCTATCTTATTCATTTTAAATTTTTAAAAATTAACTGTCTTTTCTCTTTTTTATACTTGTATATTGTATATTTCTATGCACATGCAGCAACCATTGTAGTCCAAAGCAAATTTCCTCTCGAGGATAATAAAGTATACTACTACTACTACTACTACTAGCACCATCCGTTAATTGTCATGACGACTGATAAACAATCTTCAGTCCTGACAAATGTGTACAGCAGAGCTTACAATAATTATTGTAATACTGAAAACCACTCCATCTATGTCTGTCTGTGTCAGTAGAGGTGGTTTGATGAAAAAAGGTCACTAGACGACGGGACTCGGCGAAAAAGACGGGGCCCCTTTCAAATATATTTGATATAGTGGGTTATTGGACAAATAGTGGGTTTTTGGACACATGTGGTCAGACAGCTTAAAAAGTACATTTACAATCGCGAAAACTCAACGGATCCACCCACCAATGGGCTCTTCGTAAGTGTCTATTTGAGCTGAAAAAGAATGATATAAGTTTTATAAAATTTGGTTAATTTTTCGCGGAGATATTGGCCGAAAATCGTCGACCGCGTGTCATAATGGCGCATGGTGATGACGTCACGACCCTAAGCCTTCACCAGGTCCATCTTTGAACGCGAATAACTCCGGAACCACGCCGACTTTGGGCTTCAAACTTTGGGGGTATTAAAGGGCCCATTGGTACCTCCCCACACACCGAGTTTGGAGTTCCAACTCGGCTCGGTTCCCGAGATACATTCGGTCAAATCTGGACAGGAAGTTCCCGTATCTCGGAAACAGAAGGGCCCAGGACCTCGAAACTTGGGGGTCTGAAGGGGACCCATAGGGGCTCCCCACATCCGGAGTTTTGAGCTCCGACTCGGTTTGGTTCCCGAGATATACCTGATCAAAGCTGGACAGGAAGTGTCCGTATCTCGGAACCGGAAGATCCCAGGAGCTGGGGACAGTGGGGTCTGAAGGGGACCCCCAGGGGCTCCCCACACCCGGAGTTTTGAGCTCCAACTCGGTTTGGTTCCGAGATACACCCCGTTATACATAAGGAACTTTTGGACAAAACGGTCAATATCTCGGAAATGACGAGTCCCAGCGGTTCGTCCTTTGGGGTGGTGAGTGGCCCCTAGGGGCCCTCTCAGACCCCAGAGTCCCGAGGTTCTGGGACCCTTCCTTCTGAAGTGACCCCTTTTCTATTGGGCCCCATATCTCGGCCTGTGGTGGCGCTAGAGCCTCGGGCTACCCCTGTCACTTTTTTTGGCTCAAAATTTTGAGTTTCTCCGATCTTCTCGAAACTCTGGATTCGGATAGAGGGCCATGGGACTAAGACCTGAGTGCAAAAATGGAGGCTCTAGACTCTCCCAGAGCTGAGATATCGAGATCCCACGTAGCATTTGTCCCATTATAAAAATAGTGGGTTCGTGGACGGTGGAATTTGGGGGCGGCGCTTGGTGCCGCGGACTCAGGGGGCCCCCCTCAGTGCAGTAATATAGTTTTTATCACGAAAAAAAACGTAAACAAAAAAAGTTAAAAAAAAATACCATACCCAAATCCCCATTCAATCGATGGCAGGCGGGATTGTGTCCATTTGCAGCTTACTGCATGAAGATCGGGGTTAGTACATTCAAAAAATAGTGGGTTATTGGACACATAGTGGATTAGTGGACAGTGGAATTATGGGATGGTGCTTGGTGCTACAGACTCAGGGGCCCCATCTGAGTGCAGGAAAGTAGTTTTCATCCAAATTTTTTGAAAGCTAAGCTTAAAAACACGTGTCCAAATACCCAATGTTTGTCCAATAACCCACTATTTTTCAAATGTACTAGCCCTGACCTTCATGCAATAAGCTGCAAATGGACAGAATCCCGCCGGCAAACTATTCAATGGGTTTTCGGGTAGTATATTTCAAAAATAGTGGGTTATTGGACACATAGTGGGTTCTTGGACAGTGGAATTATGGGATGGCACTTGGTTCTACGGACTCAGGGGCCCCAGCTGAGTGCAGATACATGGTTTTCATCCAAATATCTTGAAAGCTAAGCTTAAAAACCACTGTCCAAAAACCCACAATTTGTCCAAAAACCCACTATTTTTAAAATGTACTTACCCTGACCTTCATGCAATAAGCTGCAAATGGACAGAATCCCGCCTGCAATTTATTCAATGAGTTTTCGGGTAGTACATTTGAAAAACAGTGGGTTATTGGACAAAGAGTGGGTTTTTGGACACGTGTTTTTAAGCTTAGCTTTCAAAATATTTGGATGAAAACTATTTATCTGCACTCAGCTGGGGCCCCTGAATCCATAGCACCAAGTGCCATCCCATAATTCCACTGTCCACAAACCCACTATGTTTTGCAATGGAATAAATGGTATGTGGGTCATCCCACGAACACACTATTTGTCAAATAACCCTCTATATTTGAAAAGTACTAAACCCGGCCTTCGTGCAATCAACCCCTGAGCGAGGTCCAATTAGCATCAAAAAAGACAAGACAAGTGAAACTTTTAAAAGATTTATTTAATAACTAATTGAATGAACTGATTTGTCTTTTCCTCCTCCTCCTCCTCCTCCTCCTATTCTGTGTAGGGCGATGCCCTCTGTTTGGGTCGGCCTGTCCTGCAAAAAAAGAGAAAGAGACAGAGTCAGCAAACCCCACACCCACTCAAACTTAAACAGACCCACCAAAAGATGTACTTACTGAGTGGGACGCGTCCTCTTTTCAAGCCTTCTGGCCCTCGCCTGCCTCCGGCTTCTAAATTCCAAGGCCCTGAGGACCCGCAGCTCCCGTTTTGTGTGAGAGGTGGCAGCGGTTCCTGTCTCCGCCTCTCATTCAACCTCCTAAGGGCGTTGTAGCGCCGTCTCATGGCGCCGAGGGCCCTTCGGAGGTCGGCCACCTCCCAACTCATCTCCGCCATGACTAAATTGAGGTTCACCGCCTGGTCCTGGTCCTCCTGCTCACCCCCATCGGCCACCCGAAAGTCCTCGTCTGAATCAACATAATTTGCGGGGAGGAGTTCGGGGAGGAGTTCTTCTGAAAAACAAAACAAAACATCGTTTTAGTGGAAGGCTTATCGAGTAACCGCGGCAACATTAAGAATCGTGCTGACAAACGGACTCTTACCCGTGTCCACGCACTCCCGCTGCTGTGCCCCCGACGGCAGTCAGCTCCGCCCTTCTGGGAGTGTTTTGTTCTGAAAAACAAAGCGTCGACTTAGTGGACCACTCGTGTATTATGTGCAGCGCTATCAGAACCGTGATGACACGGGGGATTCATACCTGTGATGGTGGCCTCCAGGTCGTCGGGGGTCCACAGCGCTGGCACAGGATTTACGGCGGAAAAGAGCTCATCTGAAAGACAAACCGTCTGTTTTAGTCAACAACAATCATTAACAATCATCGATGATCACCGATATCAGGATTGTGACGATCAACGGATCCATACCGAGTAGCTCCTGCAGGTCTGCGTCGTGCCCAGACTCGGGTGGCGGCACCTGAGGCAGCGCCGGCTCCAGGGACCCGGCCTCGCCCGGGGAACCATCGGCCTGGGAGAAGTCGGGGACTATGGGGACGGCTGGGTTGCTCAACCGCAGCGCCTGAAACTTCCCCACGGTCACCGACTTCTCCAACGCCCTCACCACCCTCAAACTCGAGGTGGTCTGAAATGTAGAAAAACACACGATGGCACTCATTATACCAACGACAAACATGCAGCCGTATCACACACCGATTTAAAACACGGGGTCAGTTTTATCGCCGACTTACCGTCAGGTCCCTGTGACCCTTAAGGAGATGTTTCTCCGGGTACCTGACGACCTGGCCGCAGAGCAAACAAGCCAAATCCATCAGCTTTACTCTGCGGCGGGCATATTTCATTATTATGCCCCTCTGCTCGAGGTTGAGCATGGCGTGTACGTCTCTCAGGTGCTCGCTAATGTATGCCATCCGAGCTGGGCACATGGGGCATTGAACATCTGTGAGAAAAAATGTGCCAAAAAAGTCAAAACACACACACACACACGTCTAAATCATACCTACATATTGGGACCTTGGTGAATACTAAGTCCTGAGCTACACACACACACACACACACGTCTAAATGAAGAGTTTGGTTCCAAAACGCAATAATCGCCATTTAAAAAAAAAAAAAAAAAAAAAAATCAGACTTTTCAATACCGACCAGATACAAAACAATGTTTAATTTGACGTAAAATGCGATATCCGACATGTTATTATATAATGTTTTCTCCCTTTCTTTCCAAACCGCGAAATACGCCAGTCTCCCTTTTCTGCAAAATGCGACATATTCGCTCAACCAATCACAACGCATCATTCTACGCAATGTAAACAGTAACGGCAGCGCTTTAACTACACCCGGCTTCCTAGGGATTCTCTATTTTGTCCTTTCGATCAACAAACAAACAAAAAATGAATACTTCTGACAGCATTGGTGAACCTGCGGAGGGTAAGGCATCCTGTAAACGTGACATCGGAATTGAATCATTTACGTGAGGAGATTAAGAAGAGGAGGCACTCGGGAGGAGGAAATGCCGGCTGTTGCTTGTTCTCACACGACAGCATCAGGAGTGCCATCATTTCCCGCCCATATATTGTACAGTATGTCCACATATATTTCTGCTTGAAAAAATGCGCGTTTCATTTCGTGCACGCGCATATGAACATGCATGATAGCCTAACACACGCGACGCGGTTATCTTTTCCGAGCTGCAGTAAACAAACACCGTTGCACAACTTGCACATTGTTTTGTATCAAAAACAAACGTAATAAATAATTGTATTTTACTCTGACTTTTGTCAGTCAGGCACAAAGAGAAGTGATGCAAGAGATGCACTGCCTGTCTGCCCAGCTAGGTCAGCAAGACTGAAAAAACACAATAGAAATGCACATAAACTTAACTTTACTTTGCTGACTGACATCAAACTTGGAGAGGAGAGAACACAAGTTTACCTAAATGTTGTTCCCGCAATTCACTCTCATGTTTTTTCTTCTTTCTCTTATCGTGAGAGGGATAGTTTCGCTTCATTTTGTCAACATTAATTGACGCGCTATGGGGAGGCGGGGCCTTGAGTAATTTGCGGGGCCCTATGCAGCTTGCGTAGTGAGCGTATAGGGCGGATCGGCTCTGGACATGTGTCATGGCTACAAAATATGCCTTATCCACATTTTATCATCCACATAAAATGTAGCCTATAGTCTATCACTTCTCTATCACACTTCTCCGTTCAAAAAGCTTCAGCAAATAGTAGCAGCCCCCAATCTTGTTATTATGCGAATCGTTATTAAGAGAAAATAATATAGCCTAAAGTAGCCTAGGCTAAAATAAAATAAAAATAAAAAACCCGTCATATAATCGTTATAATATATCACATCAATGAACATGGTAGTTCAAAATATAGCCTATTATTCACCGTTAAGCAAATATGAGCTTATCTTGTGTGATGTTCCAGAGCAGCGGTATAGTCCGCGCTTGGGCTGTAGCGTCATCTCTTGTTTTAATAGTTGTTTCGTTTAGGAAGGCTCTACCTCCTTTCGTGTATCCTGGGAACTGCTAAAACTCCAGAGTCTTATGATCTTAAAAAACGAAATGGACTATATCGTGAAGCATCTGTCCATCTACATCATTATAATCAGCAAAAAAGGGACTCACATCAACAGCCACTGTAAGCGGGCTTAAAACAGCCTCTGCTGTCATTTACTCAATCGGTTGTCAGCTATCGGGTAGTCTTCCGAAATTTAAAAGACATACAACAGACCAATACAAAAGAAACGAAGCAGATAAAAAAGAGTCGGACATGGGAGTCGAACCTCTGTCACTAAGAGCAAAACGACACTGTATGCTGGCACGCAGACCACTGCCCTACTCAAGATGTTAGGTTTGTTGGGTAATCTAATGTATTTCACAGACATGAATGTAAACAGAGACTAAAATCATACTATATATCTACATACGATAAAGGAAATTTCCTTTATCGTGCTTTTTAAAAAGCGATAGCCTACTCGTGCCCAATGAAGAAATAAAATATGACAGGATAACATTCCAAAAACAGAACCTTAAAGACGGATCGCTATTCAGATCGACAATCTACTACATATGTCTTTCCACCAAACGTCACTTCATTAGATGGGCTGAACTTTGAAGAAAAGGGCGGGGCTGATTATAATATTATACAAAACGCCGCTTTTTACGCCGTCTTTGTCAGACCCCAGATAGCAAACTGACATTGAATCACGTGGAAATATGACATCGAAACAACGTTGATCTGACATTGTTTTGCTCATCGAATTAACGTTGAACCAACGTCAGACGCGTCATTCTTTCAAAACTAACGGAAAATCAACATAAAATCAACGCGTTGTTTCAACGTTATGAAAGCAAACCAATTTTCGATTTTATTTAGCTTTGAAGAATGCCGCGTCTGACGTTGGTTCAACGTTAATTCGATGAGCAAATCAACGTTGTTTCAATGTCATGAGAGACGTCGTTTCCACGTTGATTCAATGTCAGTTTGCTGTCTGGGACAGAAGCGCCGCAATTGACGGCGCAATGTGGATGGCCTGCGGTGTCAGAAACGGCGTCATAGGCTGGATTAAAAAACGCCGAAAATGACGGCGAATTTGCTTTGTAAACGCCGTAATTTACGCCGTTTGTACCACAATACGCCGTAATTTGCAGCGTCTTTTCGTCTTAAACGCCGTAAACACCGGCGTTTTGAGAATGAAACGCGTTTGGAAAGTGGCGAAATGTGAACCATTTGGCTTTCCATAATCTTCCGCCATTAAACGCCACAACAATGCATAAGCCAACATGGTCATTTATTTTGAAAAAACACAATATAGCCTACTCTTCAAATGCTCGCGTGCAAAACACTTATTTCATTCATTAACATGTAGACTACAAACGTTTACATTCGTAAGTTACACGTTTCTACTTGTTGATGCAAAATTTGTAGCAATTCTGAAATTCAGTTAAAAGTAAATTTCTTTACCAAAAATGCAATAAATGATCATGTGTAGGCCTAAGTACAAAAAATAAGCTTACCTCTTCTCAACGTCTTCACATGTGTTTCATAAAATGGCTTAGAATTTTTGTCTGGATAGGCATCACGGGAAATGGCATATCACGTGGCTCATGGTAGCCTACTTAAAATGATATGCTAGATGTAATTTTTTTCGCAATTACTGTAGTAGTTGACATGCCTTATGTTTTTTTTCACTTTATTTAAAAAGTGCACCTAGTAACTTATATTTTTGTTACTTATAACATATAACTATATACGTTTGTAACATATAACTATATATGTTAAGTAAACGTTGAAAAGTTATGAATAGGCCTACTTAATTTTTTATGTTTGATCCAATTACTTTTGTAAGTAATGGTTGTTCGGCCAACGAATCATTTTTTAGAGTGTGTTTTATCACAACAATCTTGTATATAACTTACAATCTAATGATGAACTCACTCTCAGGCCCATTTTGTCCTTACATTCTTGCTAAAATAACTATAATGCAATAATAATAATAATTCCGCCCCTCCCTCACTTCCGGTTCTGGCGCTGGGGTTCTGAAACTGGTGGTGCTGCGGGTCTGCAGCTGGATATATCTCGCTTTTGTTTGTATTTTATATTTTATTTGATAAGCTAGCAGTCGTCCGGGCTGCTGGCCGGTATTTATGTTTTATTTTCGGTAGCCAGCAGTCGTCCGCGAGGGGCTGCTGGCAGGTAATTTGTTTGTTTATTTTGTTTAAGTAAAGTTTTATTTTTTAATATTATCCGGTCCCTGCCTCCTTCTTCCCTGAACTTTGTTACAGGGTGATCAGGCATTTGCAGTTGCTGCTCCGAGACTCTGGAACAAGCTACCCCCTGATATTCGCACAATTGCTGATGAAACTAAACTTCAAACCCACCTATTTAGGATAGCTTTTAATACACAGTAGTGTTGAGACAATTTCAAGTCAAGTCAAATCACATTTATTTATATATAGCTTTTCACAATACAGATGTTGGAAAGATGTTGTCCGACAGCACAGCCGCTCCGAATCTGCTGGGGTGGAGTCCATCTGCGCGGTACAGCCTGGGTCTCGCCATTGAATACCTACCTACCTACCCACCAACCCACCCACCTACCCACCTACCCACCCACCTACCCACCTACCCACCCACCTACCTACCTACCCACCCACCTACCTGCCCACCTAACTACCCACCTACCTAACCACCCACCCACCTACCTAACCACCCACCCACCTACCTACCTACCCGAACCCACCCACCTACCTACCTACTTACCTACCTACCCACCTAACCACCCACTCACCTACCTAACCACCCACCCACCCACCTACCCACCTACCTACCCACCCACCTACCCACCTACCTAGCCACCCACCTGCCTACCCACCCACCACCTACCCACCAACCCACCCACCTACCCACCCACCTACCTACCTACCCACCTACCCACCTACCTACCTACCCACCTACCTACCCACCTACCTACCTACCCACCTACCTAACCACCAACCCACCTACCTAACCACCCACCCAACTACCCGAACCCACCCACCTACCCAATATCCACCCACCAACCCACCCTCCTACCCACCCACCCACCTACCTACCTAACCACCCACCCACCTACCCGAACCCGTGGGTAGGTGGGTGGGTAGGTGGGTAGGTAGGTAGGTAGGTAGGTAGGTAGGTAGGTGGGTGGGTGGTGGGTAGGTGGGTGAGTGGGTGGGTAGGTGGGTAGGTAGGTGGGTGGGTAGGTAGGTATTCAATGGCCTGAGGAGAAGTGGCCCCCGACAGATCCTGGGTTTTCCCAATGAATGTGACTTGACATCTTCAGAGTTTTTCTGTGCCTGTTCGATGTCCGGCGCTTCCTTCCTACTGAACAGGTAATAATAATGTCAGACAGACAGTAACATTAAATACAAATACTGTTTGACAAAAAAATGGAAAACTGCATAGTGTGTTCAGTAGACTATTTAGATCCTGGGTTTTGCCAATAAATGTGACTTGACATCTTCAGAGTTTTTCTGTGCCTGTTCGATGTCCGGCGCTTCCTTCCTACTGAACAGGTAATAATAATGTCAGAAAGACAGTAACGTTAAATACAAATACTGTTTGACAAAAAAATGAACAGAAACTGCTCTTTGCAAATAATTGGCATCTGTTTAAATAATTGGCACCTACCAATTATTGCCAATTATTACTAGTAATATAGTACTGTTATAGAGCTATATATATATATATATATATATATATATATATATATATATATATATATATATAATATAGCTAATATAACTATATTAATTAATCAAATACCTGGACTTTCGTCCGAATGCCTCTAATAAGCGGCAGTGTTTCGGGGCCCTTGGTGTCCACCGCAGGTTTGGCCTTCATCAGCTGAGAAAGAGAGAGAGAGACAGAACAATAAGCATCAGCTGAAATCAAATTAAACAAACTTATTTATATCAGCTATGGTTACTAACATTTCTAACATGTTTACTTTTGAATATTATATTTTATTCACGGCCATCATTCGTAGTAGCCTATTCACAAACTGTTTTTCAAAATGTTTTCCCTCATACCATTTGTCGATGCATATTTTTTTGTTGCCGCTCTTCCCATTCCCTCATCGGTAAGAGAGCAGACGGCTTCAGAACCTGCAGAAATTAAACATGAAGAAATAAACAGATAAATAGATATTCAATGTTTTTTTGTGTTGTAAACGCCTCTTTAAAAATAAATCTCGCTCAAGTCCTGAGGAGCTAAACCATTTAGGGCTTTGAAATAACAATTTCGAACCCACTTGACATGCTGTTTTTCACAGGCATTAACAAGAGCAGCGTGAGCATCCAAAATGTGTGCTATTGTGTTTCACAGAAGGGTTGGAAACATGATGAAGGCGAGAAAATGAAGAAGAAATTAGCTCCGCTTTATAAAGTGTGAATTACGATCATACCTGTTTGTTGGTCTCTCCTCGGGGAAACCGTCTGCAGTGGTCTCTCCATTGCTGGACCTGTTCCCACTCAGCTTCCCAGCGTTCCCTCCTGAAATCGGATTCCAGCATCAGGATTCGCTGGTCGTTCTGCTGGTTTTCGAGACAGATCTTCCTTTCTTTCTGCAACTGAAGACAAACACTGTTATTATCATGCATTTCATCTACTCCACGTTACTTCAAACACATCACTGTAATCGGCAACAGTACTGTTACAGAGCTATACATATATATAATTATACAGCTAATATAACTATATGAATTAATCAAATACCTGGACTTTTTTCCGATTGCCTGTAATATGCGGCAGTGTTTCGGGGCCTTTGGTATCGACCGCAGCTTTGGCCTTCATCAGCTGAGAAAGAGAGAGAGAGACAGAACAATAAGCATCAGCTGAAATCAAATTAAACAAACTTATTTATATCAGCTATGGTTACTAACATTTCTAACATGTTTACTTTTGAATATTATATTTTATTCACGACCTACTATGAACAAACTGTTTTTCAAAATGTTTTCCCTCATACCATTTGTCGATGCATATTTTTTTGTTGCCGCTCTTCCCAATCCTTCATCGGTAAGAGAGCTGACGGCTTCAGCTTCGTGGAGGTCGAATCCTGCAGAAATGAAAAATGAAGAAATAAACAGATAAATAGATATTCAATTGTACTGTTATAGAGCTATATATATATATATATATATATAGCTAATATAACTATATTAATTAATCAGATACCTGGACTTTCGTCCGAATGCCTCTAATAAGCGGCAGTGTTTCGGGGCCCTTGCTATCGACTGCAGGTTTGGCCTTCATCAGCTGAGAAAGAGAGAGAGAGACAGAACAATAAGCATCAGCTGAAATCAAATTAAACAAACTTATTTATATCAGCTATGGTTACTAACATTTCTAACATGTTTACTTTTGAATATTATATTTTATTCACGACCTACTATGAACAAACTGTTTTTCAAAATGTTTTCCCTCATACCATTTGTCGATGCATATTTTTTTGCTGCCGCTCTTCCCAATCCTTCATCGGTATGAGAGCTGACGGCTTCAGCTTCGTGGAAGACAAATCCTGCAGAAATTAAAAATGAAGAAATAAACAGATAAATAGATATATGGTACCTGTTTAATAAATAAATGATTTACAACTGCTAATCAACTATCCCTTTAAAATGGAGTACTATGTCAATCAAGTGTAACGTCATAAACACTTAGAATTTCCCATAAATGCTGTTTTTTTTATTTAAGTAATCCCTTAATAAGCGATAAGTGTTGCATAAAACCCCTTAATGTCTGGCAGGTTTGTGTTTTCACCGCCATTCTACATTTTTTCTTGTTCGTGAAGCTGTTGTGTTGACAAATCTGGTCCCCCTTTGAAATCGGGTTGATTTTTATCTCGATAACTTAAGCCTTAAATGCTTTTTTTTGTTGTTTCTTTAAAAATAAAGCTCGGTCAAGTACTTACCATTTTACGGTCCCTCCTGGGATCTGACTCCTGCGTCATGATTGGCTGGTTGATCCACTGCTTTCCATGAGTCAGCTGTAGGAGCTCCTCCTTTTTTCTCTGTGTGTTTACACTGTAAAACCAGATATATAACATTATCATAACATAAAATAAATAACATTTTTATTACTTGTCAAATTAAATAGAATATTTTTTTAATGTTTTATTTTATTTCAAAATAATTTCTACATCTTGTTTAGATGTTTTATATATACACGAGACGCAGTTTAAATAAACACCTCGCTGAGGTACTATGTTAACACACACTGACGTCTGAGCACACACACACACCTGAGCTGTGGGCGATGGTTCCTGTTGTCCACCAGACCTTTAGTGATCGCAGGAAGTTTGATGGCCATTCTCAACTGAAACAGAGACAGAACAACATCAATCAACATATAACTAATATAACTCAAACTGAGCGGCCCAAATCTATCTAAAAATTACATGAATGTCTGTGTGTGTGTGTGTGTTTGTGTGTGTGTGTGTGTGTGTGTGTGTGTGTGTGTGTGTGTGTGTGTGTGATGGATTTCAGATTTGACTGGTGTCTTGCTACGGGTGCAGTGACGAGTTTTACGTTGTTTGGATTAGCTATAAACGCAAAATACACTACCGGTCAAAAGTCTTAGATCAGTAAGATTTTTTATGTTTTTAAATGAAGTCTCTTCTGCTCACAAGGCTGCTTTATTTGATGAAAAAATGACAAAACAGTAATATTGTGAAATACTATGACAATTTAAAATGACTGTTTTCTATTTTAATATATTTTAAAATGTCATTTGAAAGCTGAATTTTCAACATCATTACTGTTGCTGATTACGCATCAGTTTTCAGTGTCACATGATCCTTCAGAAATCATTCTAATATGCTGATTTTATGCTCAAAAAACCTAAATTATTATTTTCAATGTTGAAAACAGTCGTGTACCATTTCCCCCCCAAAAAATAAAAAATAAATTCTAACTAACCCCAAACTTTTGAATAGTAGTGATTAATGTTACAAAAGCTTTCCATTTCAGATCAATTCTGTTATTTTGAACTTTCTATTCATCAAAGAATCCTGAAATAAAAATGTAAAAAACTGTTTTCAACATGGATAATAATCATAAATGTTTCTTGAGCATCATATTATAATCATTTCTGTAGGATCATGTCACACTAAAGACTGGAGTAATGATGCTGTAAATTCAGATTTGATCACAGGAATAAATTACACTTCACTATACATTCACATAGACCGCTGTTTTTTGGGTATTTTTTATCAAATAATTGCTGCCTTGGTGAGCAGAAGATACTTCTTTTAAAAACATTAAAAAATCTTACCGATATAAAACTTTTGACCGGTTGTGTATATCAGTAAATATCTATATAAGAAGCACTTAGAAGGTTGTGGTTCAAAAATAATCCTTCTGACATAAACACATAAAAACCAACAATTACTAAAACACACAAAAACTGATTTTGTTCGGGCACTTTTCACTAACTTAGTTAAATTTCACGCTATATCAAACAACGTTACTAAAAAAAGCAATTATAACCCCTTAAGTTACCTTGTCGTCGTCGGACAGGGTCCAGCTATTCTGATTAACACAGTTCACGGCAAGTTTCACAGAACGGTCGGTCATCTGCTTCTTCTTTCCTTGATGTTTGGAGGTATAAAAGTATAATACCGTGCAAGTTTCACAAATTCAATGTTCTTCCAAAGACGTTCGAAACCAAGCGGAGAGACAGTGAAGTGCAGCGGAGGCTACTATGATGTCACAGGGCAGGGCAGCGAGAGGACGCCTTGGCAGACGGCCAACGCCCACGCACATCGTTTGAATGAAAATAATCTTATTTAAAGTGAAGTTTGATATCTGTCTTGCAGTTTTTTTGGGTTTTTTTAAAATTTATTTTTAATTTCTGTCTTGCAGTTAACCTCATATGAATAACTGTCACACGTGACCTCCCCATCGACGCCATCTTTGAGGGCATAACTTTTTTTCTTTTTTTTTTTTATTGAGTTTTCAAAATATTTGAGGGCATAACCAGTGATGTAGTGGTGCCTGGAGAAGTGGGCATACTCTTAATTTATGCCCTAAATATTTTTTTAAGCGTCACAGCAAAGGATGAACGCTCTGTGTTATAAACAGTGACATGAAAGACTACTAGTCTAGCATTAGTACAATATGCAAGACTACAGAATAGAGTATAATAAATACAATAGAACACATAAAATCAGTATTATTGCATATCAGGGCCGCACAATACCCAGGTCCCATAAATGATATTGTTAGGGGGGTTCAGGGAAATGCCCCCCTCGAGAAAATTTAGATTTTCCTGATCTCGAAATGAGCATTTTAAGGTGTTTTGATGGTCAAAAAAAATTGACAACAGTAGCTTTAAAAGCATGAAGTAGCCTATTTGATCAGATTCTCAAACATGAGAATCAGTTTCAGTTTCAGCTACTTTTCTTTCCTAAATTAATCTATGTTTGGTAATTTAAGTAATGGCTCACTCAAAAAGACAGTCTTGTCGCCACCCTCTGGTTTAATGACGCAAGTGGCGCAGTATTATGTAAAGATGAGAAGCATCGATAATGCATTTGAATAATTAATACATTTTGTTAGTTTTGAATAGAAAACTTTATAGTTTAGGCTACTATAGACTACTTACCATTATAAATAGCCTACATAAAAAGAAATGTGCTGTTTGCTAGCCAAATTTCGTACGTTTTGTAAATGACTTGTTCAAATGCTGTTCAATATAGCGTCATCTGCTTGTTTATCATATTCAACCTGCTGAAAGTGATTATGGCATTTCAATAAATAAGAGTAGTCCAATTGCTTGGAATAATTACTTCTGATTGTATTGTTCTCTTCTTTGTAATTGGCTTTGGATTAATTAATTAATGTATAATTAATATATCTCTCTCTCTCTCTGTAAAATCTGTAAACAGTAAAAGCTTAATTTAGAAACAAGGAATAATGGAACTTCGGTTTCCATGTTAATTTGGTAACGCAATATGATATTGTGTCCACGAGGTGTCGCTGTTAGATCATATTAATGAAACTTCAATGCAGAATTCAACTTTATTGTAGGGAATACAATACACTTTACATAAAAACCTTCAAAAAAACAACAACAACGTGGAGGTCAATAGAAAAAAGTTCTGTATATCATTGCTTGTCATTTCTGTGATATCATGTAATTCCATCATAGGGGGAAATAAACTGAGTTTATCTTAGGCTATATACATTAGTTGATTTGTGGTTAATATTCTCTAAGCTGTTAAAAATGGCACATCAGTACAAATTTTCTGAACAACAAAATATTACTTTCAGGTTAAATACTGCTCTTCCATTAGTTCCAGATATGATATAAAAAATAAGAACAACAACATAAAAACAACGAGAACAAAAGTGCAAAAGGCATAGTACTCTCCAGGTCAAAACTCTTCACATGAAAATATTTCTACAGCACGATATACAGTAGTAAACGATCTACAGTACGCTAACATCAAATCGTTAAATTCTGGCACATCCTGAACATCACTGAAAGCAACTAATTTCTAGTTAAAGCTTATATATTTAGCCAACAGGACAAAAATGTAAGGCATTCAACAAAACATCAATCATGTACTGTATTATGCAAACTAAGCGCCATATGATATTTTTCATATGTACATTACATACATTCATTTTTCCCATTAGTTTATATTTTATGAACGGACATTGACAAATAAAAATGACGAGCGAATATGGTTGTACTTTATTTTACAGACCAGTTGTGCAATGTGCATTATAACAGTAATTATATTAACTGGGTAATAAGTTCACTGTAAGTACACATAAACTACAGGTGTTTAGGTTATAGGTTCAAGGTTAGTAGTTATTACCCAGTTATTGTAATTACTGTAATAAGTATGCACAACAGGACTGTAAAATAAAGTGCAACCGAGAATATGATTACACTGTAAAAATGAATACGCTTTCTAATCAATAAAATTGTGGCAACAGATTACAAGCAATATTATTAATTAAATTAAAAAAATTAGAATTGAGTAATAATTAAACAAATTAATTCCTTAAAAGTTAACCATTTAAAATGAGTAAAGTTTACACCCAAAAATTTAACAAAAATATCTGACGTCAAAGATTAATTAAGAACTCTTTATTTAATATTGCCAACATTGAAGACACCTGATGTTAACGAGCAGAATTACTGAAGGAGAAAACCGTCATTTTAAAACAAACACTGATCAACATAATGGTGACTTAAATGTACTTTTTTGTTTGTTTGTTGTTGTTGTTGTATGTTTTAGTCATTTTAAATGGTTAACTAATTTGATTAATTATTACTCAATTATAATTTGTTAAATTTAATTAGTAATATTGCTTGTAATCTGTTGCCACAATTTTTTTGATTAGAAAAAGCGTATTCGTTTTTACAGTGTATGGAGCGTATGTGAGCGCGTGTGTGTGTGTGTGTTTCTGAAAGTGTAAAGAGCCTAATATATATGGATGAGTAATTCTTTTGACTAACTTAATCAAACTTTCCATCCATGATAAAACATTTTATTAGGTCACATGATCATTATGGAAGCTTGTTTCCGCGACAGAATTTAAAAAAAAAACGATTCTATTTTCTCACAATTGCGAGTTCACATCTCGCAATTCTGACTTTATAACACGCAAATGGGAGATGAATGTGAATATGAAGTCAGAATTGTATGATATAGAGTCACAATTTCATGTTATAAGGTCAGAATTGGGAGATATTTTAAAAAAGGGCAGAGATAAAAAGTCGCAATTACCTTTTTTATTTTTTATTCTGTGGTGGAAACAAGCTTCCATAATGAACAGATCATGTGACATTATAAAATATTTTAACATGGATGAAAAATTTGATTAAGTTAGTCTTTTTTCCGCTCAGAATTGGACTTAAACTTGCAGATGCGAGTTTATATCTCACAATTTAGAGAAAAAATGTCAGAATTGCGAGATATACGTATACAATTGTGTGTTATAGTCAGAATGGCAAGTAATAAACTTTAAAAAAAATCAGAATTGTTTTTATATCTCGCAATTCTGATTTTATAAAACACAATTCTGACTTTATATCTCACAATTCTGACTTCATATCTCATAATTCCTATAAATAAAGTCAGAATTGTGAGAGATAAACTTGTGAGATAAAAAGTTGCAATTATCTTAAAATGTTTTATTCTGTGGCAGAGACAAGCTTCTTTATCTCACGATTCGGACTATTTTCTCACAATAGCGAGTTTACATCTCGCAATTCTGACTTTATAACATGCAATTGGGAGATATGAAGTCAGAATTGCATGATATAGAGTCGCAATTTCATCTTATAAGGTCAGAATTGTGAGATATGAACTCTCAAATGCGTGTTATAAAGTCAGAATTGTAAGATATTTTAAAAAAAGGCATAACTGGGATAAAAAGTCGCAAATACCTTTTTTTATTTTTTATTCTGTGGCGGAAACAAGCGCCCATAATATAAAGAGAAAAGTTCCACATGTTCATGACCTCGATGAGCTTTAGAGGAATGTGAGATGGTTTGGTCACTAAAAAGAGAAAGTCTGGCCAAAAACGGCTTTAAAAACAGAAAGATGTGCATAATTTCCCTAATATAATTTTACCACTTTTCCACACATCATTAAAGGAGTAGTTCACTTTTGAAAAAACGTTTGCTGATAATTTACTCGCCCCCATTTCATCCAAGATGTCCATGTCTTTCTTTCCTCAGTCGAAAAGAAATTAAGGTTTTTGATGAAAACATTCCAGGATTTTCTCCATATAATGGACTTCAATGGGGTCCAAACGGTTCAAGGTCCAAAAGAGAGTTTCAGTGCAGCTTCAAAGGGATTTAAACGACTCCAGACGATGAATAAGGGTCTTATCAAACGAAACGATCACTCATTTAATAAATAAATAAATAACAAAGTTTAAGTTTTATAAGCATGAATGCTTGCCTTGCTCTGTTCTGTGTGTGTAGGAGCTATTTTGAGTTTAGTTTAATCTAAATTGTTGTGCTATTGGAGCACTGGAATGTTTTGTTAGATTTAGGATCCTTTATTTTGTAGGGTCTTTTATTTTGACAGTTGTTGAGAAAGTTTGAATAAAAAGATGGCCGCCTCTCACTTTTTAAAACACAAGAAAAGAACAAGGAAGCTTTTGGAACGTACAAGCATACAGTTCTTTACTTTTGCTATCGAAACGCTATTGAATCAATTGAACCCTACTTGGACATTAGTTTTGACATTTAAGTTGTGCCTTTTAACACCCTTTCTTTAATCAACTACCAATTGTTTGTTGGATGTTTACTCTCCTGTTTGAACTCGTTCATTAAAATGAACAAACCTTTTATCGAGTCAATTCGTTCATTTCGTTCGTTGAATGAACCAAATGACTCGAAAAAAGATTTGATCATTTTGATGAACGAGTTCGAACAGGAGAGTCACGAACGCGCATCACAGAACAGAGCAAGGCGAGCATTTGAGCTTAAACTTTTTTATTTATTTATTAAATGAGCGATCGTTTCGTTTGATAAGACCCTTATTCATCGTCTGGAGTCGTTTAAATCCCTTTGAAGCTGCACTGAAACTCTCATTTGGACCTTGAACCGTTTGGACCCCATTGAAGTCCATTATAGGGAGAAAATCCTGGAATGTTTTCATCAAAAACCTTAATTTCTTTTCGACTGAAGAAAGAAAGACGTGGACATCTTGGATGACATGGGGGCGAGTAAATTATCAGCAAAAGTTTTTAAAGTGAACTACTCCTTTAAGTGTGTAGAAAGTGCCTCAGGACTCAATTAGCATGAATGAGACTGAAAGCACAGATTCTGATTTTACGCCTCAGTTCTCTGTGTGTTTTACCTTCTAACACACACACCAGAAGTAAAGCAGTGATGATGCGATACACCGAAGCAAACGTTGAGATAAACACATTCACATCTGCTTGAGGCGGCGGGTCAGAAAGCAGGACCGAACATCATTCTTCCCCGTATTTATCAATGTAAATATGCCGACCGCCCTGACGACGGCTTGCTTCACTGTTTGCGAGCTGTGAAGAGCATGAAGGTCCAAAGAAAAAATACAGTGTTTGAAAATGAAAGTCTCCGGAGACACTGAATATCTGACAGCCTCCAATTTATGCGGGAGAAGAGGATGAAAGAGTGGAAACACACAGACAATGAGACGGGTTTATGAGCGACAGCATCCGACTCCCTTCATCTCCTTGTTAACAAACTCCTGCAGCTGAAACTTGGGCTCGTTCGGCTCCTTCATCTCCCTGTGCTTCAGATCCCTGAGGGAAACAGCACAATCCTCAGGAAAACTCAACGCCTGAGGTTTATTAGCACACATTTAAGCACAAGATTCAATGAAGGAATTAGGAAAACCTGGTAATGATGCAAACACACCTACACACACCGTGTGATTACTGTAATCTGATGTACTTTAGCATCTATGATCCAACAGCATGTTTTTCTCCATTATGAAAGGAGTAGTTCACTTTAAAAAAAAAAAAAAAAAAACTTTTGCTGATAATTTACTCACTCGCATGTCATCCAAGATGTCCACGTCTTTCTTTCTTCAGTCAAAAAGAAATTAAGGTTTTTGATGAAAACATTCCAGGATTTTCTCCATATAATGGACTTCAATGGGGTCCAAACGGTTCAAGTTCCAAAAGACACTTTCAGTGCAAACTACAAACTGTTCAACGACACCAGACGATGAATAAGGGTCTTATCAAGTGAAACGATCGCTCATTTAATAAATAAATAACAAAGTTTAAGTTTTATAAGCACAAATGCTCGGCTTGCTCTGTCGTGACTCTCCTGTTTGAACTCGTTCATCAAAATGAACAAATCTTTTTTCGAGTCATTTCGTTCGTTGAATGAGGGATCATTTCGCTTGATATGACCCTTATTCATCGTCTGGTGTCGTTTAAAGCCCTTTGAACAGTTTGTAGTTTGCACTGAAACTGTCTTTTGGACCTTGAACCGTTTGGACCCCATTGAAGCCCATTATATGGAGAAAATCCTGGAATGTTTTCATCAAAAACCTTAATTTCTTTTCGACTGAAGAAAGAAAGGCGTGGACATCTTGGATGACATGGGGGCGAGTAAATTATCAGCAAAAGTGAACTACTCGTTTAATCAGTTGCTTCACGGCTACATCATTAATTGCATTTGTGAATAACACAGTCTTCATCTAAGTGTTTTCCCTCAAACTGAATGTAATGCAATAGTGTAATTGGTGTTTAGTAATGGTATTCTGGCCTTGATTTTATTATATTATTCAAATACAGACACACTTTTGCATAAAATCTTGTAAATGTAAAGATAAATCCCCGTAAGCAGAACATCTGGCCTTCACTTCCCGACGCTTTCTCAACACACATTAACTGCACTAAGTTTGTGATTTTGTTCATTTTACACTCATTTACACAGAGAAGAGGCTGAAACTGCATTTACATGTGCGAGTTACTCTACACAATGCATATTTATTGTATATTCTTCCTTTTGCAGAATATACAGACAGTATACATGATGCATATTGTAAGTCACTGCCGATAAACGTTTGCTGTATGTTTACACTACCGGTCATTAGTTTGGAATAATTACCTTTTTTTCCTGCTCACCAAGGCTTTAATTATTTGATAAAAAATGCATTAAAACAGTGAAATATTATTATAATGTAAATCATCAGTTTTCTATGTGAATATACAGTAAAGTGTAATTTATTCCTGTGATCAAAGCATCATTAGTCACATGATCCTTCACAAATCACTCTAATATGAGGATCTGATGATCAACAAACATTTATGATTATTATCAATCTTGCCTTGGTGAGCATAAAAGACTTCCTAAATGTATTGTAAATGTAAATGCATATTTAGCATGACTTAAATTGGATTACGGGTGGTTTAATGAATAAGATGCAGCTTTTGTGCATGAAAATGTATTTAATGAAGTCTTGTAGTTACGTTTAAAAATTGTCCTGAATTTGGAAAGGCATCGGCTGCCACGTGTGTGTGTGTGTGTGTGCATTTATTTAGATGATGTGACAAAAATAAGAGTGTGATATTCTCGGCTCTATTTATCATGCACAGATTTAGCGAGTGACTTACTTTGCCACAGCAGTGAAGGACAACTCCACATTCAGACCTGACTTTGCACTGGTCTCCATGAAGGGAACGCCATACTCCTGTAGAGAGAAAGACAACATTTGTCTAATTTAAAATATGCATGCACAAATGATCCATCGACATAATGCATATCACATTTACAAACAGTGAGATCAGTGCTTCAGAAGTCCTTTAAAAGGTCCCTATTATGCCGATTTAAAGGTCTCCTATGACAATTAACACTTTAATTTTCTCATAATCCACATTACAGCATCAGCTCTTTTTTCTCAGGCTATATTTACACGTAAACGATCTGAAGAGAAAAGGCAAAAGTGGCGTGGCGTTTTCACTTTTTATTCTGCGTTTAGACTACCATTTTGGGTGGGAGATCCGCATGCATATGGTGAAGCAAAAGTGTGTGAGATTCGATGTAGTGTGCACTCCAGGCGGCTAGGTGGCGATGTGAAGCACTGCCATACAACCTCCACTGTCAGGCAGACTTTTGCGTTTTTACCCTTTACACGGGAATGCGGCAGTGGAGTGTTTTTAAGGCCCTGTTTACACGAGAACGCTCGCGGGTGAAAACGTAAAAGAAAACGTAAAAATATTTGATCGGATGTGCCTTTTCGTTTACACGGCGATGGCGTTTTTGGGGCTTAAAAAACGCAAAAAAAGTGAAAACACCCTCCAGAGTGGAAATCTTAAAAACGCTCCACCGTCGCGTTCCCGTCTAAAGGGTAAAAACGCAAAAGTCTGCTAGACGGAAGGTTGTACGCCGGCGCGCGGACTTGGTGTTGTTGTGTGGCAGTGCTTCACATCGCCACCTAGCCGTCTGGAGCGCACACTACATCAAATTTAACACACTTTTGCATCACCATATGCATGCGGATTTCCTACCCTATCTCACGACCAATTCGAGTGATTAAAAAGTGGCTAATTCGTACGACCTCACTCGTACAAATTCATACGATTTGTCTAAACCCACGTGATGGTTAGGTTTAGGGGCGTGGTCAGGGGTAAGTCATTCGTACGAATTCATACGAATTGGCCAATTCGCAAAATATGTACGATTTAGCAAAATCGTACTAATTTGTACGAGTGAGGTCGTATGAATTGTTACGAATTAGCCACCTCGTAAAATTCGTACGAATTCCCGTGAGATCGGGTTGGGATTTCCCACCCATAACGCTCGTCTGAACGCAGAATAAAAAGTGATAACGCAACGCCGCTTTTGCGTTTTCTCTTCAGATAGTTTAGGTGTAAACATAGCCTAAGATTTCGCCGTGTAAACAAAAGGCACATCCGATCAAATATTTTTACATTTTCACCCACGAGCGTTCTCGTGTAAACAGTGTCATTCGGCCTCTCTAAGCTCCGCCTCTCTGAGAGCTGCTCTGCTGTGATTGGTCAGAAACCGATCATTATCATATGTGAATCTCAGCTCTTTACACACAGTGATACGAACAGTAACGATGGCGTGTGTTTTACCGTATCAATCTCATCAAAGTGGATTTGCTTTGTCACGAACCGAACTCTTCAGTCTCAGATACACGACAGTGTTTGAGGGCGGAGCTAAGAGGCGCTGCTCAGCCAATCAACACCAGAGACTGGAATTATGCAAATTAGTTACAAACCTACACAGTTCAGCTCGAAGTAAGTGTGTGTGTGTCATATGCATGAGTAATTTAAACGGAATAACCTCTCAAAGACAATAAAGACGCTCAATTAGGCAAGAGATTCGCATGATCTACTCTGCAGCGTGACGGGAAAAACAAACAGGTAATGCATGAAATGTTTGAGTGAAACCTGCATAATGTGATGCCGGTTTCCCATTTAAAGCTGCATTTACCTCATTAAAAAGATTTTACACCAATAATTTTTTTTTTATGTCTACATGACTGTGTAAGTGTGTTTGTGTGCTGATATAACACACCTTGGCCAGTTTCTCACCCTCCTCTCGCTTCACAACCCTTTCATGAGTGGCATCAGCCTGAAAAATCAATCAATAAACAATGCATTATGTATTAGCTTATCAATGTTTTCTATATAACTTATTTACGAACTGATGTTCTACATGCATGGCTAATCCAAATACAGGTTTCAGATCAGGACAGTGCTGTATCTGTAGTATTTCAGGATATACTTTACTCACCTTGTTCCCCAGAAGCATGATCACTACGTTCTGCTGAGCGAACTCATTAATCTCGGTGAGCCAGGCCTGCAGAAAGAGAACAGCTCACAGCAAGTGTACTGTACATTTACAGGAAATAACCGTAATCTCAGACGAAAGACTTAAATGGTTCTATATCTTGTTTAGAGTCTTGAATCCCCGAGCAAGAAAGACAAAAGCAATGTTTTCCAACATAGCAAGAAAGAGCAGGTCATTATTTCAAGAAGTGTTTAAACAAGGAAAAACTGCTGGGGAGATTCTGCAAAACACAAGAGCGAATACAGGGAATAAGAGAGAGAGAGAGAGAGAGAGAGAGCACCCCTGCTGGAATAACACACACACACAAACACACTCCACGGCCCTGCTGGAAGAACGCGCTTCTGTGGTTCCTGATTTTCACCACATTTTTGCTGTACAGAAATTTTATTAAATCAAAGTTTTCCCGCCAATGCCAGTTTGTAGGATTTTGTACAGTATAGACATCATGCCAGATTGAATCGAATGCTTTTTTAACCTTCTGGGGTTGTTCGGCCCAAATGGACCCGAAGAATTTAAATAAAAAAAATTTTAAAAATCACAACTTCCTCGGAATGGTCCGAAATTTGGTGACTTTGTTGATATTTGGTATTTGAAGACCCAAAAAAATTGGGGACAGGATGTGAGTAGTCTAAGTGGTTGTAAAAAAAATAGTCACACTTGGGGTGTTCGGGTCCAAATGGACCCGCATGGAAAATGAATGGGAAATTGGCAAAAATGTGAAAATACTGAGTTTTTTTTGTGCGTACAATCTACAAATCAGCAACGATCTTGAAAAAAAGCACACAACAGTGAAGGGGTGAATCTATAAAACATCAAGAGTGCAAAACAGACACATCCAGACACACATACACATACACAAACACACTTTTATACACAAACACACCAAAAATTCAGATTATACATGTGTTTTGTATTTTTAAAATGCTCAGTTTGTCCACCACATTTCAAAAATTGATTTTATGAGGCCTAGGCTTGACTCTAAAATGAAATACAGCTTTAAATAAAAAATAAAAAATTTTAAATATTTTTTCTATTATGTTCAATGGGGGGACATTTTGTCATAATTATTGCATTAATACTAATTATAATTTTTTTTTTTTTTGAAATTTTCTCAAAACACCAAAAAAGAAAAGGAAAAATATTATAAAAAACGAGTAAAAAAAAAAAATCATGATTTTTGTTTTTTTAAATATGAATCCCGCCCTTTGGGTCCATTTGGACCCGAACACCCCGAGTGTGACTCTGAAACGAACAACCCCAGAGGGTTAAAGTCTACAAAACATGCAAATATTTGTCTTTGTTTGTCGTTGATGTTCTTGTTGATGAGAGTGTTTGGGTAGAAAGCCAATCTGTGCTTTATTTCAAATGTTGTGCGATGAGATGTGTGAGACGATGCGTGTGTTTATGATCCTGCAGAACAGTTTTCCTAAAGCACTGCCCACACTGATCATTTACCATAATAATTAGGGTCAATAATAATAATAACTAGGGCTGGGTATTGACTCAAATTTCACAATTCGATTTACAAGCTTGCAATTCGATTCAATATTGATTATTTTGGATATCAGTTACAATAAATGGCAAATTTTCTCAAGGAAATTAAATCTCTTAACTAATGCTGTAATTTATGGGAGTCTAGTTGTAGCCTATAGTCTTCATTAGCCTAATATGAAGGTAATAATGAACTGTTTTGTAGCTATACAAACACTTAAATTACACTTTATTTAATTTTATAAGAAGAAGATTATATGAAATATAAACATTTAAATGGTGGCTGTCATGAAATCTTGCCAGATTTATTAAAAAATGCATTAAATATTGAAGAACATTAAGATTATAATGCATATGTAATATGGTGTATATATTTAGCAAAATGCCCCTCTCTAGAGTTATTGTTTTTCTAGCTGACTAACGAGTTTATGTGGGTTTTCTGAGGTAAATATGACGATACATGACAAGGGGACATATCATGCAAAATCCACTTTTTTAGCCCTTAAATGCATTTTGTTGTATATTTGGAGTGTTTATAAGTACAGAAAAGATGAAATTATTCTCTTCAGGTGATTCGTTTATATCTTTATATTCTGTTTTGGTCATATTTTTCAACCTGTTCAGATTTTTCTGTTCTCTATGATGTTTTTTTTTAGCAAGTGCGTCACCGTATTTGCAGCGGAAGTGACAAATAAGGACATTGACGACCGGTCCAACACTTCGAGCAATCCGCCATTATTATTTCTCGCTCCGGTTTTGTAGTGCGAGCTCAATGATGCAGAAGTTACGAGAGGGCAAGTCAAAATGTTCGGTTGTTGGATGTAGTGACCTGAAGCACTTCAAGGATTCCCACTTCAATAACCTCCGCCAGTATAAAGAAGGGTTTGCCGATCGACTTCGTCTGAATGAGGGGTAAATTCCTTCTATCTTTGGAGACGACGAACAGAGCATTTCGATAAGCTGTAAATATCGTTAATAAAAATAAAGTACTTTACTTTCTTAAAACACATGGTGGTCGTGGTTTAGCAGTACCGGCTTTGTCTTTCTTTGTTTTGGTTTTGAAGTAACGTTACACGTCTGCAGTATTATTGTTCTTGAGTTTCATCAATGGTCATTTATGCTTTTCTAAACGTATCATATCATCAATACAGATTGTTAGTGGTAAGATTAGACCGTAGTCATTTATCTTGTCAGTGTGCTTGTTTTAACAAGAGAAATAGTCGACTTTCACTAATAACACAAAACAGTTAACTCACATACCAATACATCCATATGATTGAAAACGTTGTTCTGCATGTTCGTCGTCATCTTTATCAACTCGCTCGCTCTGGCTCGAATATGTAAGGCTTGATGGACAAGTCTTCTGTTGTTGACATTTTATTAACGTGTGAATAAAAATGTTCTTTGAAGGTATCGTATATAATCGTATATCTCTAATCAAACTACAATAATGGCCGAACGTGGGGAGTTGAACCGACCGTGAACTCATCGACCTGGAGAGTGGGCGGGGTGTGACGCATCTCCTTTTTATTTAAAGGGGCCGCTTTGAAACGGGTCGCTCAAAGACGCACATCAGAAAAGGGGTAGAAAAGGGGCTTGTGGAGCTATAATAATGAGGAATTCAGACCCAAGCATTGCAGTTATGTTTTATATAGACCACAACGGTATGATTTATATGTAAAAATGAATGATTTAAAAGCATGATATGTACCCTTTAACTGACGTCTTTCCACAGTTGAAACGCTGATTGAGCGAATCAATGTGACGTGATACGGATTTCAATAAGTTGTACTCAATCTTTAACGCACTTTCAGATGCTCATTCATGTTTATTTCGCGCTGTAACTGATATTATTAACCCAGAAGAGAGATCAACGCTGCTGCTTCTCCAGAGCGATCTCACGCCACAGTGCCAAAACGTTATTTATGTTTTTGAATTTCTAAAGAAAATGGACGGAATTTGAAAATTGAGACTTTGTTTCATATCAATAGTAACAAAGGACAAAGATTATTGCGTTTTTTGGATGCGCGCAGCCGCGATACAACGTCCCATTCATTCAAATGAAACAGGAAGACTAATCGATTCTTGAGATTTAAGAATCGATATCGGTTCGTAAAAATGAGAATCGATTAATATCGAGAAATCGATATTTATTACCCAGCCTTTATAGTGTGCCGAAGTTACAACGTCACTCTGTAGGCCAAAACGCGGAAGTGAGTTAGCATTTTAGCACTACGGTTCCCTCGCTCTAAAGCCTATGGGATTTTTGAATGGTTTTTGCTAAATCGCCTGAAATAAAGTCTGTGGGGAACAAAGCCTCTAAATATTTTCACGTTTTGATCTATGACATAGAACACATAGTTATAACCTGCTTGTGGTTTTTTAAACTTTATTGTGTCTGATTGTGTTTTTTAAAATCTTTATATAGGCTTCAAAATGTATGAATTTTGGATTAACTTGTAAAGATTATCTTGCTAGACAAAACGTGTAAGGGTCACAACTCTTTGTTGAACACAGATCTTATTTTTTGCGATTTTCCAAAAGTCTGTGGGGAAAATGCATTGCTTTTCGACCGAGAGAACCCATGCGCCGCTAGCTTCCGAGTTGTCCTACAAAGTGACGTCATCACTTCGGCACTCTATAATGACCATAATTATTGGGGTCGAATTGATCACCTTTCGTAAATACGGGTGTGATGAGTCCTTCAGACCAGCTCTCAGGGACGCTTCCGGATCACATCACAAGATTAAAGAGTTTGGCTAGAGTTTTAATCATGTTGGGACCGCAGACAGTCTCTCTCTCTCTCTCTCTCAGACTATGGACATAGGTCTCTCTCTCTCCACATTTTTGAAACTTACTCCGCCTCATTTGCATTTTAAAAGCGTAACTATTATTTAGCAAAGCCTTGTACTATATCAGTGTGTTTATTTCCTCCGGGCCTTAGACAAGCGGAAGAGATCGTTTGATCCTCTGCTGTGTGTGTTTCATGTTCTGCTCAGGCTTTATAAAGTAATGAACAGCAGTCCACAGATACACTTGAGTTTCTTACATATAGGCAAAGATATATGTATTAATTACGGCTAAAAGGATGTCTTATGTTTGATTTATTGTGTCTAAAAGGGACACGGCACATTTCGAGTACGGTACACTAGTGTCCGAATGTCATTTCACAGAAACATTGCAATGGTTTTGTTTTCATAGTTAAAGCACATTATTATGTTCTGATTACATTACGCACCACAATACAAGTCTCTTTAGATAAAAGCTTCACCAAATACATAAATGTAAATGCATTTTTATGGTTCGTGGATCATTTTTAAAAAAAAATGTTATACCGTGATGGAAACCTAAATGAGGGGCTTGTAATGAACTATGAGGCATGATGTGATACGAAAACAGTAAATATCCTTTTTTGGTAACACTTTACAATATGGGTGCACTAATATGCATTAATTCATGCTTAACTAATGCACAGAAACCATTAATTAATAATGATTACTGCATCAGAAACTAATAAAGAGTCTATATGATTACTAGATTAAGTAATAT